TTTCTAAGAGCGGGTTTTCATAGTGTGTATCCTTTCATCATTTCATTTTTGGTAATTCCGGTCATTATAGCTACAGGTTATTCATTCCCAATTAAAACTAATTAACATTATTTCAGGAATTCTAAGGGACAGTGGTAAACTCAAGGCGAGAGGGTGGGAGCAGTCTGCCACAGGTCTGGGCAGATGGTCCTGCCATGGAAAATCATTTTCATTTCTGTTGTCCCCATGTGTGCACAGTTCTAAACAGTGCCATTGAAAAATATTCCTAAAACAAATCCTTTGTTGGCCTAAGCCCTAAACTATTGTTGAAATTAGTGTTGTGTTTTTATTTCATATAGACATATGTATGTACACGTATAATACGCTTTAAATTAGCACACTTGTATTACTTAATATCATTGTATCACTAATCCTTTAATAACACCTGTGGACTCAGCCTTGTATTTTTTCTAAATTAAGGTCTTAACAGTTTGGCATCATTAGAACTGCAGTCTCCAGGGTGCTGCTCCTTCACAGGTCAAACAGCAGAGTCAGAAATGAGGAACGATGACGCTAATTATAAAACTCAAGAAACAACTTCAGCAACCCCAATTCTCTTATTCTCTGTTACTGCTTTTGGGGTTTTTGTGTTTAAAATTTGAAGTGAAGCAGAGCGTTGATTATTATTAAAGGGAATTGTGTCCAAGAAAGGAAGAGGGTCTTGACAGTGATCCACTGTGGTCATCAGAGTGCCCTAGGTCCCCAGCCTTACTTAGGCTGCGGACTCAGGCACGGAAACAGCTGTGAGGATTTCCAGCAATCCTACTAACATTACATTATAGTGAATACCTTTCTGAATTTGATTAACATCTCTAAGTTGTATCTATTGACAGATTGTTTTGTGTATTTATTTCTATGTTTGCTTTAGATCTTAAGTGCCCAGGTTTGTTTACATTGCAAATCTTTTGTTTGTCAAAACTAATGCCATGGAAATGAATAGAAAGAAAAACAGCATTAAGAAAGAATGAAAGAAAGCAAAACGTTGTGCCTAGAAAGTAGTGGTGTAATTCTCCAGAAACCTCCCTCCCTGTTTAATCACCAAAGTAAGTTAAGGTTGACAGATTTTTAAAGAAAATAACCTAACTGCCCATACTCTCCCTCCGATGCCTGTACCCGAGGCGTATTTCCCTGCGCTCCCACGACACTCCGGCCGGTACGCCACGAGCACCTAACTGCTTCTGATGGCTCACCAGTCTTTCAAAGCAGCTGGATCATATCACAGTAGCAAGTTTGTTCAGTATTAGCTAGCAATGCATCTATAGCCCGCTCTCTCCAAGCTTGGAATCTTTTTTTTAATATTGAAAGGAAAGTAAAAGGAATTCTGACACCCTCTGCTGCTCCACATAGACACACCCTCGAGCCACAGCTGGGAAGCAGCCTGCGTACTCCGCAGGAGAGCACTCGCCCACTCAGGGAGCACGCGGGGGCCGTGGGGGAGCGCACAGCCACCGGAACGTGCCGCCTTCATTTTTAAATGGCTGTTCTTTTTAATACTGACATTCTGTGTCAGCACTGTATGAATTCTAAGACACAGTTATAGATATATTTTTTAAAATAAGGTTTAGAAGAGTGCTGTTTGTGCAAAAATAGGGGGTGTGTATGTTTAAGTATCTAAATGCTAAATATTTCTAAAAGGCCACTTGAGACACTGCTCACCTGGGGAGATGGGGACGTTCAGGGGTAGGAAGGAGGCGTGCACCCTTTTTCCAGTGTGATTTCTTCACTACCACGTGAGTGTTTTTACATTTAAAAAATGCAAAATCTTGTTGACACAAACTCCATTGTAATACAGTCTCCCCTTAGTGCTCACAGGGGACTGTCTGTCTCCAGGGACCTCTGCAGATCCCAGAACCCGCAAGTGCCCACGTCCCTTACATAAAATAATGTAGTACTTGCATATAACCTACACACATCCCCCCATAAACTTCAGAGCATCTCTAGATTGCACGGAACGCTGAATACAGTGTAAATGCTATGGAAGGAGTCACCACGCTGTACTCTTGATGTAATAATGACAAGAAAGTCTGTTCACAGCAGTGCAGACACAACCATTGCAGGCCTCACCACACAGACGTTGGCAGACGTTGGTGACAACGTTAACATTTTTCTTCCCTTACACATTCCATCCACGGTTGGTTGAGTCTGGCTGCAGAACCCACAAATAGGGAGGGCCAACTCAAGTGAGAGCATAAATCTCACGAAGACAATTGCTGGTAACCCTGGCACCGCACAACACCTGAGCCACTTCTCAGAGCCCTGTGTTTGCAGCTGGTGGCAGAGCAAGGCAGTGGCCGTTCTTGAAGGCACACTTCCGGTGGCTGGTCAAAAGCTCGTTGGTAATTCCAGTGTCAGCTGCTGTGAGCCTCAGGTATGTTGCTGCCTTTCTCCTCTGGAAGCAGGAGCTCAGGTAGCCTCCTCCGCCTCAGGTAGCGTAGGTACAGATTTCAGTTAGGGGGAGACGTCCACTCCCTTCCCCACTGAGCTGCTCTTTCATGGAGCCGAGTGCCAAACCTCTGTGAGAAAAGTGCACACTTGGGAATTTCTATTTATTTACAATTTATGCCCCATATAATTCCAAAAAGCTGAGTGCGAGGGAGTGTTACTAAATTTATGGGTAATATAAAACTGGACAAGTACAAGTGAAAACAGATTGGAACCCAGTAAAAGTTAGAGCAGGACACTGATTTTTAGTAGCCATCAGAAGTATCTGGGGTAAGTTAAGTCCTGCAGTTGAGCACTGGCTTTAGCTTTAAATTCAGGGGCACGTAAGATGAAAGGAGCAATATAAAGTATATAGTTCTTTTTATATGAAGCCAGAAAATAGGAAGTTTTGCCTAAGGAAATGGACATTTTCCTGATACTTCAAGAAGGAAACTCAAAATGCAGGTCCTTATTAAAAATATAGAGAGAATGACTCAGGTCTTCATGGTGGTTAATTAGTACCTGTCGAGGTAGTGAAATTAGCTGGTCGCGATATGCCACACCTCGCAAAATATGTATAGTCATTTGCATGTCAGAACTACTGTCTTTGTCTCAACATTACAACAGTGGTCTCACACCCTCTCATGAGGACTGCTGTAGAGGGCTTCTCATCTATCTCCACATCCACGCATCCTCCCAGAGTCCCCTCCGGGCTCTGGTGAGGGCTGCCTTTTTGGAATGCAGATTTGATCACGCCCCATCACTGTCTCCATCCCGTGTGCTTATAACTCGCAAGTCCCTCTGGTTTCAGGATATAGGACCCAAATGTTCCTGCCTCCCCAGCCTTGTCTGCCACTGTCTCTCCAGTGCTGTCTGTCTTTAGTCCTTGTTCCTGGCCATGTGCCCTTTGAACATGGCCCCTCTCACAGCACGCTCTGCCTGCCTAAGCCAGCAAGCCTTCCTTTGCGTCTGAGCCACACCCTCCATAGAAGCCTTCCTGACTCTCAGAGGCGCCCTGCCCGCTGTTGTTTGTTCTTCTGTCCCTCTGTGCCTCTCTCAGGAGTGCTTATCTCTGTTGTGATGTCCTTTCTACTAAATCGTAAGTCCCTTGACAGTGGGGATTGGCTCAGCTTGTGCTCACTCTTGGACCCCAGCTTCACACCCCCTACCTGATGAGCAGTAGGGGGCCAGAAAATATTCAGGGGAAGGAAACCATCAATTGGCGATCTACAGCCTCCCAGCCTCCCTGCCTCCCTTTCCTATGGACCTTACACCATGCTGAGACTTGTGCCTCTGAGGCACCAATCTGATCACACCTCTTCCTTGTGCCATAACTTTCAAGGGGTCCCCATTTCCTATAGAATACAATCTACACTCCTTGTTTAGCCCTCCATGAACCTGGCCCAGTTGCATTTCCAAACCTGTTTTTCCCAGGTTCCTTAGTCCTTGCAGGATAGCAAGAATGAAGCTCTCTGGGCTTCTGCCCACACAACTCCCTCAGCCCTTCTCTGCGTGTTTAAATCTTACCATCCCTTCAGTAACACTCCGAGGTGAAAGTAAGGTCCTTCATTATGTGAACTCTAAGTGCCTTTGACATGGTACTGATTTTCTGTCTAAATTATAACTATTTTATGTATATATCTCCCACATTAGGTTATAGTCAAGTCCCATTTAGTGTCTGTCTAGTATGAGCCTGGCATAGCAGGTACCCATAAAAATGTGTTAAAAAAGAGGTAGTTTGTGGTAAATGTTAGCATCTTTGTAAGGGAGCCTTTAATAACAGCTATTTCTCCTCTGGAGGCTTAATTTGTAGTGAAGTTTCTGTTTTTACATATATAACAAATGGCCAGTCAACTGTAGATTCTCCTGTTCTTTTTAATCTCTAACAGTGAGTGAATATGAATGCAGTGCATATGTAGTTGACCCTTAAACAACATGATTTTGAACTGCATGGGTCCACTTCTATGCAGATTTTTTTTCAACAAATGTTGTAAATGTATTTTCCTTATGATTTTTTAAGTATCTTTTCCTTTAGCTTACCTTATTGTAAGAATACAGTATATAACACATATCACACACAAACTATGTTAATCAGTTGTTTATATCATCTGTAGGGCTGGCCAACAGTATTAGTAAAGTTTGGGGGAAGGTCAAAAGCTGTGTGGGTAGTCAAAGCCTCTAAGTCCCATGGTGCTCAAGCACTCAAGCGTCAACAGTACTGCTTTCTGCACAATTTTAAGACCTTATGGATCTTTTCTTTTATGAAGGTACAGCCTTATTCTGATAGTGAATGCAAGAAAGTGAAACAAAGCAGGTTCGTGTAGCGTGTTATTTCAAGGGAAGACTGCCCCAGTTAATACTCTCTTCAAAATAAAAGGACGATGGACCACAGCACTTGTTTCTGGGAGAGCATCCCCTTGCCCTCTCCCCAGCCACCCGGCCCCCCTCACCCAGATGCAGGTCTGACCCTGATGGCAGCCACTTTTGCCATGACGCCCGCTACGTGAGCGTGACCCTCACCTCTGTTTCCTTTCCCACAGGCCGATTTAAACTGCAATATTCAAGATGACGCCGGGGCTTTCTATGGTGTAACCAGTCAGTATGAGAGTTCGGAAAATATGACAGTCACCTGTTCCACCAAAGTCTGCTCCTTTGGGAAGCAAGTAGTAGAAAAAGTAGAGGTAAGTTGGCCTCTGTATACTGGCACCCCCATTCAAGACCAGGCTGTTGCCGTCATCCTTTAAATCCTTACCGGGGCAGGGCGTTCTGCTTTCTTCGGTGTCCCTTCCTTTCCAGCCCCCGCCCCTTCTCTCAGTTTTTCCCCCATTACTTCTGACAAGGCAAAATGATTTGAAAGCAACTGAAAGGCCAGGAGGAAGTCCCATGTCAGCCTCCTCAGCTGTTGAAGTTGACCCTGCCCATCTGGCCAGCAGTGTCCAGGCTTGCATGAGGCCTCACAGGAGTGCCCTGCTGTGGAAGCTGCTGCCCGTCAAATGAAGCCTTCCCACCCCGACCCCCAGGTCCAAGGGCACTCCCAGGCACTGTAGGAAACAGCCAGGGTGGTGTTCAGCTGATGCACACCGACCTCCTAAATGCCAGTACCTAGAGTTTGGAATTGTTGCTTTTGCCAGTTCTACCCCCTTCCTTATAATTCTTTTAAGTCTATTCTAGTACATTCTGGGATCAAGGACTTATTTATGGCTTTGTAATTTCATGCCTCCCTCCCTTTCAAATTATATATATATATATATGTTTGTTTTATCAGAGTGGGTTGCTTTGTGTGAATGATATTTGCAGTTGACATTCCATTTAGTTTTTCCCAGTGGCTCTGCTCATCACCAAGTCAATCCACGTTCAGTGAGAAATTTTATTCACAGCAGTGCTGGGCCTCGCAGGTCCAGCATCCCAACCTGACTGTAACAAAGACTTTGTGCAGATGCATGAGAGGGGGTGTGCACTGGAGAGTAAGAGGAGAAAGGGTGTGTTTTTTAAGACCTTGGGCCAAACAATGAGGATTTGGGGGTTGCAGCCCTTGCTGCCCGAGTACAGGACAGGCGTCCTGAGAGCGACGTTAAGGAGGGGACACTGGCAGAGGCGGATATAGGGGAGTTGACTAGATGATCCATTTAGCTTAGAGGTCATGAGCTTTACTAAACTGGTGGCAGTGGAATCCAGTAACACATTTTGCATGGGGCTTAAAAAACTGACTGGATATTTAAAATTAAAGAGGAAGAGTCAAAGGTCACACACTTTATCCTTGAAAGGAGGGCGCTGTCACCAGCAGAGATAAGGAAATAGGGTGTTCAGGAGGAAATAGGACATGAGTATAGATGCAGGACTAAAACTTGGGAGACAGGTAAAGACTGAAAATATTAATTGAGAATCATAAGCATTAAGGATAATTAAAGCTAGGGGAATGTAGATCTAGCCGCAGAGAGGGAATAGCAAGAGCACAGAAATAAGGAATCAGTTTGGGGAGCAGCCGCCAGCCCTACAGTGAGTGGAAGGGAGACACAGAGGAGAAGAGGACAAGGAGGGAGGAGGGGAGCCGGCTCTGCAGTGTCTGGGAGGCTTGGGGAAGGGGAGGGGAAAAGGTCACTGTGTAATGAGACAGACCAGGAGACTAGAACCGCTGACCTCCATCTCCTTGGAGAAGGAGGAAGCAACGTTACCTGTCGTTGGAGACATGGAAGATTGGTGCTGTGCACTGCTCCCCAGTAGCCAGGTTGTCAAGGCTTATCTGCAGGTGGACTTCTTGCCTGGACAGGTGCACATGAGAAAAGGTGAACCACACAAGTCAGTTTCCCAGACTTTAAATGATCCTCCCTCGCATCCTCAGATATTAGTTCAGGCAGCAGTGAAAGTTGCTTTTGACTGAGGAAATCCCAGGAATTTTCACAGAGAAGGTAGCCAGTGTGGTGGGTGGAGTTTTATAATTAAGCCTTTAATCCATTTAGAATGTATTTCTGTGTTGTGTGTGTAAGGGGAATCTGCTTATATTTTCTCCTAAATAGGCATTTCTGTCAAAACCACTTATTAAATGATTCATCCTTTTCCAACTCAGTAAATCTGTGCCCTTGAAGTTACCACATAAACCAGTAGCTATTCCTGGCATCTCTGTTCTCTCCTCTATCTCTACCTGTCCCAGTGCCCTGTTGGTTTAATTACAGCGGCTTTATGGTGTGTTCTGGTGTCTGGTGAGGAAGTCGGTCCCACTGATCTTCCTTGTCATGTATGTTCTAGCTTCATAACCAGCACTCATTCTTCCAGATAATGAGATCATTTCTAAAATGTTTAAAAACAAATGAGAGAAACAAAATCTTATTTGAGCAATTTAATTGTAATCACATTTGATTTAGATATTATTTTGGGATCAATTGATATATTATTGATATTAAATCTTCCCAGTTAAGAATCCATTTGCATCTCAATCTCATTTTATAGTTTTTATGTATAGATTTATCCCTTTCTGGCTAAATGTATTTCTAAGTATTACATAATTTGTTAACACAATTTTTCATTTCTAGATTTTAATTACTAGAAGAGAGAAAAGCTCTTAGTTTTTGTATTTCTGTGTTCTTTCAAAACATCTTGCTGTATTTCTCTTATTTATCTCTGGTCATTTTCCCCTAGATTCTTGAGTTTTCTATGTATATAATTTCAGCAGCAGTTTAGTTTATCTCCTCTTTGCCAGTTTGTGCTGGTTTTTAAGAAATTATTATTTTCTGTCCTGGTTGGTATGGCTCAGTGGATTGAGTGTGAGCCTACAGACCAAAGCATCACAGGTTCAATTCCCAGTCAGGGCACATGCCTGGATTGCAGGCCAGGTCCCCAGTGGGGGACGCACGAGAGACAACCACACATTGATGTTTCTCTTTCTTTCTCCCTCCCTCCCTTCCCCTCTCTAAAAATAAATAAATAAAATTAAAAAAAATAAAAAGTCATTCTGTGTGATAAAATATTATCTGATTTAAAAAATAATAATAATAAATAATGAAATAAAAAATTATTATTGTCCCACCTTTTGGTTTCTTAAAACCTCCAACGTGGTTGTAAAAAGAAATAGTGCTGTATGAGTAATAGCGTCCTTCTATAGTTCCTGATGTCAATAGATGTGGTTTTGGTGATTTGCCATGTAGGATTATATTTATTCTTGGTTTTCATAATGGTCTTTATTTTACATCTAAGTACTTTCTTTTTATAATTATTTCACTTAGAGTTTTTAGGAGTAATAGCTATAATACTTTATCAAATTCCTTTTCAGCAACTCTTACTATATGATTTTTCCCTGACTGTTCTCCCGTTTGTTAACATCACCAGTTGGTCTGCGTCCTGCGCACGCACCAGCACAGCTTTCTGCAGAAAGCCCTCGCTGGTCACAGCGATGCGTTCTGTTGGCTGTTTGGCACAGCAATTCTGCATCTCCTAAGTCGGCGACGTCACCCCGTGTGGCGGAAGAGGCACACTGATGTGCCGCAAGAAGTTTTAAAACATGCGATACCTGGCTAATTACTCAGGGGACCTCTTTTCCCTTGGATTGTCCAGTTAAAAAAAGGCAACAACCAACATAACAATAGTTGTCCAGTGTGAATGAATCAAAATTATACTTGGTTTTTTTTTTGTCAGATTAGGAAAAAGTTTACTATGTATTTTTGGTGTGCCGCAGAATTTTACTAGTTAGTTCATGTGTGCCATGAGATGAAAAGGGTTGAAAATTGCTGTCACAAGTGATACTTATGCTTGCTTTTTATAATAATCCATCAGATTGCAGCATTGAATGTATATCATTTTCATAAAGTCATTGGGACACCTACCCATTTCTGTGCTCTGGCATAGTTTGAATAACAGCAAAAATAACTTTGTTAAAGATTACCTAAAATCCGGCTGTAAAACCATTTGGTCTTTGTACCCTTTTCAGCAGTAGATCTCTGAACAACTTTCTAGCCACTTCCACAATCACTGACTAATTGAATTTTTCAACTTAAAAAAAAGGGGTTCAGTACTGGAAAATCTGTACTTTTGCTAGGAGAGCATCCTGTCCTCTGGGTTTTCTTTGCTTTTCTCTGTCAGTTACGTGCAGTAACCCCTTGTAAAGCTTCTGATCTGTACTGTGAGTCTGGTTTCATCCCTTTCCTTCTTTCTCCTTCTTAGGCTTATAAAGGGTTTATTTATTTTATTGTCTCTTAAAGGAACCAGCTTTTATATTTATTCCGTGTGCGTTTTAAATTTCTATTACATTGATTTCAGCTTTTATCTTTATTAATTTCCTATTCTTGGTTTCTTTTGATTTTTTTTGTGTGGTTTGGTTTATTTTGTGGTGTTTTAATTATTTTTAAGATGTGTACTTCTGTAATTTCTCATCTTTAATGATGGAGACATGAAGCTGCTTTATTAAGTTTCCTGCAAGTGTAGCTTCACTGGCTCCCCTAATGGGGATGCGTTTTCCTTTTCATTACTCTTTGGATAGTTTGTAATTTCCTTTTTAATTCCTTTTTGATCCGAGGTTATCCAGGAGTGTGTTTCTTATTTCTGAGTGCTTCAGTGGGATCTTCAAACTGCATATATACAAGCACTTTCTTTCTCTCTTTTTAAATTAAAGGCATAAATAACAGTCAGGGGCTCATGGTGAGTGTGCAGTAGTTTTTCCTAAAGTAGAGAAATGAGCAGAATTGGTTGTCTGCCTGTGAGGCCTCATCACAGTAAAGAAGGACCTTCTTTGGGCTCTTTGAAGAATTGTAAACGGTGGGTCCCACCCCTGCAGCTCTCCAGGCAGAGAATCACTAAGTAGGTGGTTATGTTTTTTTCCTGACCTTTGTCGAAAAGGGTTTACACAACTCTTTTTAAAGCTATCATCTTTCCAGTTTTTTTAAATGAGGCTGATGCGCCCCTTACTGCACTGAGGCACCTTCCAATTTTTTGTTAATTTTCAGAAAAATAATGAATTCTGAGTATAGTATTAAGTTTGGATAAAGTTTTATCCAAACTTTTTTAATATTTAAAAAAATTAAGTGAACTGCATAAACAGTACAGTATATAGGAGACATTGCATTTTGAAAGGGTAAAATGCTTTTACAGGCAGTAATATCTTTGTTCATGCTTCGAAGTCAGGACGGTAAAAATGTTCCAATCCTTTCTCCCTCACAGACGGAGTATGCAAGGTTTGAGAATGGCCGATTTGTATACCGAATAAACCGCTCCCCGATGTGTGAATATATGATCAACTTCATCCACAAGCTCAAACACTTACCAGAGAAATATATGATGAATAGTGTTTTGGAAAACTTCACAATTTTATTGGTAACTGTTTTGTCTCTTTCTTGTCCGGGAGACTTAGCCCTGAGGCTGGTGAGGAAAACCAGGAACGGGTGGGGGCTGGGAGGGAACTGCATGGGCTGCCGGGGCGGGTCCTGGGTGGTCAGTTAGCAGCCGAATTCACACGCCCACGAGGCACAAACAGCTTTGGTTCCGGCTCAAGTCTGTGGAAGAGAAGGGGTCTCGTCTGGCTGCAGTTTCTAAACCTGACAGCACTGGGATTCAGAAGGGTAATAAAAAGCACTGGTCCTGGGTTCTCAATTCAGGCTACGTACTAGAAAGAACTGGAGAAAGACCTTGGTATCTAAACACCCTGATCCCAAACAGCAACCTATGTCAGGTGACTCAGTGTCTCTAAGGATAGGATCCAGGCATGTGGGTTTTTTTTTTTTAAGTTCCCTAGGAAATTCAAGCTTAGCCAAGGTTGCGTCTTAGCAGAAACATACTATGTCAGTCATAAATGAGGCAAAAACTGAGTGAGTAGGTTTGTATTTCAAACATATCTTGATTCATTTCGCAAAGGATTTACAAGGCTTTATAAGAAGTACTGCACATTAAAGCAGCAAAACTATGAACTCTCAGTGCCAGAAGAAATATAAATTAAAATAGAATGTCATGGCCAGGAAGGGTTGGAAATGTTCTCCAGAGGCTGAAGACCAAAACTTCCTGGGCGGCTGAAGGGGAAGGAAACAGTAGTGACGCTCAGTGTCCACAGTGGGGACACTTTCTGGCTCCCCCGGGCAGTGCCGTGGGGCCGGGGGCGACCCCCTTGGTACTTAACTTTGAAACAGATTTCTCATGGAGGTTTCTTGGGGGGACTCAGGAAGATTATAGAGAATAGTAGTTGTCCTCAAATATACCTACAGAATATGTACACAGTAATGGTTTTATAAGGATCATTTTAAGAATAAATGGCATTTCTTAATCAAATTGCAGGAAAAGTGCCAACACAAAACTTGGTGGAAAGGATTTTGCTAAAAAGGGGCAGCAAGACAACATTGTGGCCAGATAGCCCTCTGAAAGGCCTGCTTCTCGACTAGAAGTAAGAACTAGCGTACTCGAAGTAGGAACCCTTCGCCTGGAGACTTTAGATTCACCCAGACCCTGACTGCTCCTTTCCACAGCGTAGACTCACCCTCCACAGGCAATTTCAAGCTGCCAGTGGTGGTCCCACTCGTGACATTTTTTGCTATTTAATAATAACTTGTAAGAAGCAATAGGAGCCCATTTCCCCACATTATTCAATGTAAAAAAAATGAATAAATAAAAATGTGAAATGTAAAATTTTTTTGCATATCAGATCCATCCGGGAAGCTTTTGAAAATTCTGAGTCCTAGGCCCACCTCAGACGAATGAAGTCAGAATCCCCAGGTAGTTCTGCACACAGGGGTTGGCGTCCCTGCTCTGAGGGACTGGAAAAGGGGCTGATTTTCATTAATTTCAGGGAGAGAGCTTCAGTGGATTCTTAAGTCTATCCAGGTCTCCCTGAAATTGAGGAACTGGTAGTGTGGGGAAAAGTGTGGAAAACATGTTCTTTAGTAACTAGTTTTCATTAACGCCCTTTCTCTAATGGTCTTTAGTGAATATTGAACAATTCAAGGTTTGCGGGGCTGGCAGGTTTTTATCTTGTAGGTCTTCCCCGTTGTGTTTAAGAACAGGTCACCGCAGTGCTCAGATGAGCAGAAGGCGAGTGTGGCGTCCTGGTGCAGACATGAGCGAGCCCCAGGAAGTAACCACAACTCTTTGAGTGGATGGCAGCGTCACCTCTCTTGGAAGGAGTCTTAGCTGTTCCTTGAAAACCAGTTGTGTGTCTGGTTCAGCATTTTAAAGAATATGCCCTCAGTCCCTAAAGTCCTACCCCATAGAGCACAGGCACGGAAAATAAGCCAGGAGAAAATTTAAAGCACCTACTACCCGTAACACCCATGTAACTAGGTTAGTAGCGTTCCCTCGGAACATGTGACTTAACGCAGCCGAGATGTCCAGAGAACATAACATACTAAATTAATTTTAAAATATATTCTTAAGCAACTAAATGAATTCCTTTGATATGAAGAAGTAGTGCCTGTCAATAAATACTGCTGGAAATAGCATTTCAGCTTTAGAAAAGCTGAAATTAAGCCAGAACTCCTGGGTTATGAGAATAGACTCACATCACTGACAAGAGGAATGAGGAGTACTTGTCCGCCTTTCCTCAGGGACGGGGGTGGGCACATGGCAGGGGTGGCGGCTGCTGGACACAGCTGCAGATGTCTTCCTAGGTACCTTGGGTACAAAGCCCGTGTCCGCAAGGCCATTTCCAGACCCGGCCGCCTGGCAGGCTCGACTGTCCGGTCCCATCAGGGTTCTGCAGGAATCGAGGAGAGCCTTAGAGGCAGGGCCCTCGTGACAGCATCCAGACAGGCAGGGGAAGACGGCGGCCAAACCACAGGCCACGTCTTCCTGTCTCCTTTTGAGGCTGTGTTCAGACTTACAGGTTGCTAGAAACATTTTTTTTCTTTCCTCCTTTCGAATCTCGATTGTGAAGCCTAAATAGCATGTATTCTTTCACAGAAAATTTGCAAGAGGGTAGGATAGATCACAGATGTTCCAGGCACACGTTAAACCTTTTGTAAATGTTATAGTATGAAATTCTCGCTGCAGAACTCTGAGGTCATTTTTATTCCCATTTTATGGATAGAGAATGTCAGGTCTACCCTAATGTGTTCAGTCACAGAGCCAATGAGGGCACAAATTAAGACTTGAATTAATGGAAAAGATAACTTTGCAGGCTATTTTATGGTCACAGAATCAGAAGACTTGGGTTTATGACCTTGGATAAGCCATTTAAAATCTCGAGACCTCTGAGGAAAAATAACATCTTGAGACCTCAGATTCTTCCTCTGTTTACAAACAGAATGCTCAAATCCATACTCTGCGCCTCAAAGTTATGGAGAGTGGTTCAGTTCATTCAGCTAAACTAGTTGCTAGAATACAGTGCAAATAAAACACATACCTGTCTCACAGTAAACCTTGGCCTGGCAGGGGAATGAGGCAGGTAAATGTGTGATTGCAATACAAGTTCATAATGGCTGTAGTGTGCTTACGAGACAGGCACCATGGAAGCACAGGTACCTGAGCAGGTGCCTGTAGTTGGGGTGAGGTAGAGGAGTCTCGGGGATGTCAAAAGATGATGTTTTAAATTTTCTTGATGGATAAACAGACATTTTTCAGATTTACCAAGAAAAGTGCCATTTCATGGGTGCCTAATTAAGTGTCAGGCTCTAGGATTTGGCGAGCTAGCCAGATGGCACAGCCATCCTGGAGTCTGGTGAGGGAGGCAGGCGTTCCTCGAGTAAGCACAGAATGAGTGTAAACTAAGTAGTGGCTGATGGCTGCAGAGGTAGATACTTGGTACCAATGGAGCACATGTAATGGTGGGGAGGGGTGGGTTGACCTAGTTCAGAGGTCAGAGAAGGCTTCCCTAAGGAAGGAGCAATTGAAAGATACTTGCCAGGTGAACAGAGGGTGGGGAAGAGTACTGCAGGTGGGCAGACAAGCAGGTGGAGGCAAGTGGAACTGAAAACAGGGTCCTGCGGCTGGCACAGAGGGAGGGAGGGGGGCAAGGAGCAGTGAGCTGGCTGGGAGCAGTGGCCAGACTGGGCAGGGTCTCCTCGGCCCTGTAGGAGGAGAACAGATATTCTCTTCATTCTGAAGTTCAAAAGTTTAAAAGAGGTCATCAGGGCTTTTCAACAAGAGTATGCGCTTGTCAGATGTACATCCTCACGAGGGTTCTGTGGCTGCTGTGCACAGGCGGCTCTGGTGTGGAGTGATCCTGGTACAGGAGCCCAGAGGCTTGTGGTGAGGCATTCAGGAGTAAAAGCAGCAAGATCGGCACTTGTTTGGGTACGGGCATGAGGGAGAAAGGTTGAAAGAACCACGTGCTTGGAGTATTCGATCTCTGAGGGAAGTGACAGGAAATAAACCTAGAAAAGCACATGGATACCAACATTGAAAAAATCTCTATACCCTTAAACAAATTAACCCTCAGCTTCCTACCTGTCAGCACCTGCTCATAGAAGTGGTTATGCCATATGAGACAGTGTGGGTAACGCATCTCATACTGAGCAGGTGCATGGTAAGCAGTCAGTATATGTTAGCTATTATCATGTAACTTTTCATTCATCCAGCAAATATTTATTAATTATTGTGTGCCAAACACTGAGCTAGTGACTGGGAAACATGGTCCCTGTTCTTCAGGCGCTCACAGTCCACTGGATGAGATGGACATTAAAAATAAGTAATGCCAATGTACTCACAAATAATGCACACATGCTTACTTAGTTTAGGCTGCTGTGCTGGGCAAATGATGAGCACTGTGAGACTCTAGTCAGGGGCCATGAACTTGGATGCCTTATGGGTAAGGGAAACTAGGTGGGTGAAGCGGTCTGACTGATACCTAGGGAGAATGAGACCCATGAAAAACTGGACTAGGCTCTCAAATTCAAAATATTTGAAAACCTTGAGCTGGCCTAATGAAACACGCATGTAGCAGAGTCCTGGAAACATTTTGGGTAGGGAAGTTGGGTTAGACGTGCTTTCAGAAAGTTCCTCTGAGAGCAGCCTGGGGGGCACAGAGCAAGGGGAGGAAGGAGGCAAGTCTAGTGGGGAGGGGCCGCCGTGACCCGGGCTCGATGGCCCAAGATGTGAACAAAGGCCGAGGAGCCTGCTCCTGAGGAGAAAGAGGGATCTGAGCTACTCCGCTCAAGAGGGGAAACAAGTATTTCAAAATGCGTTCTGAAAAGTAAAGCCTGTGTAGACTAAAGAGCACAATCATTCGATGTGCACTATCACCACGATGATAGTGCTGCTCCTTTACTTGGCGTAGGTTTCAGCAGTCCAGGCGCTGCTGGCTCATAGTGGTGAGGAAGGCGTGCTCCAGAAGCTTGTGTCTATCTCAGGCTCTGGTGAAGAAAATTAAGTAAAAGTTTAGGAGTGAGATAGATGATTCCCAGGGCAATTGATTGCCGCATGGGACAAAATTGTAGGAAATTATCTTTGTTGTAAAAAAATCAGCTTCCCTCCCCTGCAAAAAAAAAAACAACACTAATTCCTCTGGTCTCTCCTGGGACTCAGGTTATGGGCGAGGTCTTTCCTACCTAAGGTAACTCAGATAGGCTTCAAGTCCCACACGTAGTATCCTGAATCCGAGCCAGAAGGACGGGGCAGAGTGAGGGGGGACAGATTCCCAGTAATCCACTTCTTGGACTATAGACTGTTCCCCTCCCAGTAAATCAGAGTCCTCATGGCAGAGGTGGACTATGTGGTCATCCACGTGGTGTTTCATGTTCACATATGTATGTATGTACTTTTTTTAACAGGTGGTAACAAACAGGGATACACAAGAAACCCTCCTCTGCATGGCCTGCGTATTCGAAGTTTCAAATAGTGAACATGGAGCACAACATCATATTTACAGGCTTGTGAAGGACTGAACGTGGTTATTTATATAGAGAGATACCTGTATATACACACACACCTGTGCGCACACACACACTCTCTCCATTACCGACTGACTGTAACCCTCACCACGCAGGGGTGGTGCCCGGCCCTGAGGCCCCCCGACTTTTCTAAATCCTGTTTGAGTGAAGTCCTTGTTTCCATGTGTTCATAACTATTGTCATAGCTGTGAAGTTCTGGTACAGTTGTGAAAAGAGAATCGAGTCGTTGCTTTCTGATCCTCAGATCTGCAGCCCACCGTCCCTCGGGAGAGGTGAACCTCAGACCCCGCGCCTCTGTCCGCAGAGGCCTGCTCCGAATTGTGGTAGGAAATACTCAGACAGAGCATTGGCCATGGGACATTTACAGCCTTTATACAAATGTATTTAGTTCTTTTTTTTTTCCAACATAAAATTCTTGTTTTAAGATACAAGTAAAATTAATCTTTAAATATAAATGTAAATTAGTACACAAAACTAAGAATCTTTAGACTTATCTTTGTAACTAATTAGGGTGGAAGTTATGAAAGAATGTAATTCACTAAATTATTTTTTAAATGAAACTTTTCTTTCTTTTTGAAACCAAATGTTAAGATATAGCCTTAAGAAATCCTTGGTAGAAATACCCTAATGAGACAAATTTGTATCTTTTTCACAAGGGTAAAACTAATCTCCTAATCCATTAAACTCTTGAACAGGTATTACAAAGGAAGAAAACTTCACCCCTTATCCTTAACATATATAGTATATTTAAAAATATAAAAGTGTATTGTACTAATGTGATAATTGATTATTTAATGAAAAAGAAAGGATGGCTTTTTTTGCAATAAGTAGATAAATACTGAAAATCTAAACTTAAACAATGTTTATAGTCTTATGTGTGCAGTTATATTTTATATGGACAACCAAATTTTTTTATTCAGATGAGTAAATATTTGAACCGCTGAAATTTACTAACAGACAATTGAAATTGGCATGAATACTGCACTGTGAGCTGCAAAGTACAGAAAATCCTGTGGCTGGGAGAAAATTTCATCAACCGGACCAGTGAAAGGCTCATCAGTCTTAGCACCTCTGCTCCCTGGAAACCAGCAATCACCCTCACCAGCCTACAGATGCATTGCTTATTTCTGGTGATCCAGTATGCATGTTAACCTGCTATAACTACACACACGTGTGTGTGTGTAAACATACGCACACATGTGTAGTTGTTTAACCTGTATTTATGGCACACCTAGTCAGTGTCACGAAGTTTGCTAGGTGCTGATTTCTGTGTATATTTCGATCTGTTTCTGTAGATCTAGATGTATTCTCCAAGGACACCCACTTTCTTGTCACCTCTCAGTAAGTCACAGTACTTGATTGAGGTTTAAGAGGCCCAGCTCTCTATCTGTGACCTCTCAAACAGGCTCATTTGGGAGGTTGCCTCCCCAGAAGAGATCAGCCTTCCAACCCAAATATTCCCGAGTGTGGGCCAGGCAGACTTGGTGTCCCGCAGCCACGGAGTGGTCCTTAGGTCCCGCCGTAGAGCTTCCCTGGAAGTGCCCTCAAGCACACACCCCCGACTTCCCTGAAGAAAGGGGCATTTTTATCGTTGTTGGGAATGTGTTAACCCAATAGAATGTGAAGTAAGTTATATAAGATGTGACATATCGAGACCTTTCCATCAAGCCAGAAGATCCTCGTCCGGTCACATGCAGGTAACTTAGACACACCCTCTCCTGTCTCTCCGCCTGCTCTGACCCGGCCTGCACACTGGTTCGAGTCCAGTGGTCCCAAGCCTGAGGGTATGACGGGTTCGAGGCAAGCAGAACACCGGCCCAAGCCAGGCCCCTTCCAGACTCATACCCCTGGTTACTGGGAAGGCCAGAGGAGAAGGTGCAAACTTTTCCCCTTTTGGAGTGGATATTCTTACGGAAATCAGAAGGAAGGTGTCCATTTCCCTCCATCAAGAGACTACCTTTTGTTCCCTGATCCCAGCTGGGCCCTCAAAGGATTGCCCCAGTTGTCTGCTCTTCCATCTGGTCTTCAGCCCGAGCATTTAAGCTTCTTCTGTTGGTCATCTGTCTTGGGGATGTTGCTTTTGCTCCTGTCTCTTGCCTCTCTCCTCAAGGGACCCTCCACTCTTCCAGGAGCAGGACCCTAGAACTGGAAGCGTGCAGATGATGTGTGTAGCTCAAAGCCAGGCCATCCCAGAACTTCAGGGGGGAAGGTATCTGGGTCACGCTCCCACCCGGGCACAGGGCTCTGCTGTGCTGCCAGGAGAGCTCTTGGGATTTACTTGTCGCAGCACAAATAGACTGAGACCCAAGAAGACCCACCGAGGGTGAGGGTAGTTCCATGGGTGGCGGAGAAGGCTGTGCGCTGGTCTGCTGACTCCCAGAGTCAGGCTGGGCCCCGACGCCTGGCTGCCAGGCCCTTCATCCGGACTCTCTGTGCTTGAGTGGGGTGGGTTTACTTAAACTACCCCAAGGATAGCTTTTTGCTCTTAAATTTCTTGCTCTAAGATTTTTTTTTAAGTTACTTCTTGTTCTTCTCAAATTTTCTCCAAAACAGGTATTTTTCCCCATCTTGTCCACTGGTCCAGTCACCCAAACTCTGGGCCCTCTCTCTGTCTCTCCTGAATTAGACCTGGGTGGCATTTGTTTAACATCAACTCCATGTCTGCCTGTGGTCTTTCACCCTTTATGGCAGAGTCTTCCCCCTTTGTCTGTAAAGCTTTATAGACTATAGAGAAGACTTTCCAAAGCTCTTTCCTCACTGCTGGCCCCCAGGTGCTGTATCTCCTGGTCACTCGCCACTACCAGGTTTGATTCAGGGACATCACAGGAGATGCTTTTCACAGGAGAATCGGGAGGCCAATTTTCCACTCCCTACACAGGGAGTAGCTGAAAAACGGGGTTCTGGTCTGTTGGCATAATCTTTCCCACCTTAGCAAGAGACCTACACTAAAATCAGGACTTCTTCCAGAACATGTCCTAGAATTCCAGATCGCCCAAGCTGCCTGGGACCCGTGTCAGCCTCGACACTGTGGATGTGTTACACCAGGAAGTTCTTTGTCACAGGGACTGTCCTGTGCATTCATTACAGGAGGTTTGGCAGCATCCCCGGCCTCTGCTCACTAGACACCAGTAGGACTCTTCCCTCCGCTGTCACTCCCCCAGATGTCTTCAGACACTGCCAGGTGTCCCTGAGGCACAAAATCTCCCCCAGCTGAGGACCACTGCCCTAAGTCACACAGGTCACAGATACCTTGTTTGAGAGTTTCTTTTTCCTTCCACTTCACCCCAAGATAGCATCTCTGCTTTTGTCAGTGATCAAGTGACATCGCACAAGTGACGTAGTGTCCACATTTCTTTGTTTCAGAACTTCTCCTTTACGACCCAGTCTCTCTTGCCTCTAATATCTTTTCCCTCGTACCGGGGGGAGCTGGGAACGGCTGGTCACCACTATTCCTGTGGTCAGCTCACTCCTATTTAAAAAGCATTTTTATTTTGACCTTCAATCCTTAGTTTACTGGGTTTAAAAAAACAGCTTATTTTCATTATTTCTCATAAGCTCATGAGTCTCATTATCAAACCTTTAATTGTTTCTGTAAATTTCCTCTGGTCTTCTTCTACTTCTCTGCCTTACACTCAGTGCTGTTTGTATTTATGGAAACCTCTGGAATGTCTTCTCATCTTTAGGGATGGAGGAGAGAGGGATCAGTTCCAGAAGAAGGCTGATAGGACTTTTTCTTTATCGAGCTAAAAGAGCACAGTCTCCTCTCCTTCCCTGTGTAAGCAATAAGGTTGAGGCTCAGAGAGGAGAGGACTTGCCCAAAGCCACCCAGCTCGGTTAGTGACAGAATAAGGGTGAGGCTCCGGCACTCCTGCCACTTAACCCCTGGTCCCTCTGGTGGAGGCGGTTCCTCTGTGGTGCTCATGCCAAATGACCCTGCAGATGCGTGGGTGGCGTCTGCTCAGAGGAGAGGGAGACGGAGAACTGGCGAGTCTTGTCCAGCCGGAGCTATTGGAGGCATTTGCAAGCAGATGTGAAAACTGATGAGCCTTTTCACTTCCTCGGAGGACAGTTCACCTGCCACAGTCAAAGTTCTAATAGCCAGGCATCCCGGCAGCCAAGTCTCATGCTCAGACCAGCTAAAAAAAGGCCTGCTCCAAGCACTTGGTGTTACAGTTACCCGAGTGACTTTAAAACCTGAGTCACTAGGTTTCAATACTGCAGTGGCTTTAGCAGTTTGTTTTTCTTTTTGTATAACAGTAAATTATTTAAATCATGAGACTACAGTCAGTTTTACGAACCAGGTACATATGATCTGTATGATTTTGTCTATGCTCTGGTACACCACACTTATCCTCACAAAGGCTAGAACCAACTTTGTTGGTGTTCGCACCTGTGACGTGAAGGGGCCGTGTCTGCATTGCTCATTTCTGTCGCTGTCGCTGTGGCAAAGCCCTGCACATGTTGTTTCTGAAAAGCCTTAAATCTTTGAGATGTCACGTGTAGGGTGTGCAGTGCACAAGGCTGCCTCGGAACTGTGAGCCCTTTTGTAAGCTGGAAGCATTTCTCTTACTACTGTTACTTTTTTAGGGAGTTTTAAATTTAGAGCTGCCAAAGCATCCCAGTAAGCAGTGCCTTAGTGATACCTTAGTCGTGCCGCCAGCCTCCTCTGACACCTGTTCCCAGTGCCCATCCACTGATTGGCCCCATATTTAACACAGAACATGCAAAAATCGTTTGCATTTTGTTTAGGAAGCCCATTTTTCTCCAGTTCTATAAGAAGCTGACTGTTTGGTCCCAAATCTGAAACCAAACGCACGTCAGTTCTTTGACCAGACTTTCAAATGCATATACCAAACAAAAGGGTTTGCATCTTCATAGTTGACTATGATAAGCAAGTTGTACTTTCAATGTTGCCTTTTAAATTCACGACCAAATACTTAGCTATTTGTGACTCTTCTGCACTCTAGCATGAAAGTGCCTTTGGTTTGAGATTCCAGCTTAGAAAAGTGCTGCCATAATAATGATAATTTGTAGAGAGACCAAAAATATTTTGAGATCACCGTAATGCCTTTGGTTCACCGGGATGAGTCACCAACCACAGGCCTCTGTGCGCTTGCGCACCACGTGGACCCCCCGCCTGCGGCAAGTCCGTCTGCAGTGGGAGAGCCCCCGCCACCGCTGCCAGGAGCACACTGCAGCCGGAGCGCCCCCAGGAACTGGTGTGTGTGTGCGCGCGCCGACGACCCAGCATGTCGTCTCCGCTTGTCACCCGGCCCTGCACCCCCACAAGCAACAGACTCTCGGCCGGTAGACAGGCCGGTGGACAGATCGGCCCTCCTCCTGACGTCCGAGCGCGGTCTCTGCGGAGGTTGCTTTCCCGGTCAGACGACCATGCACACCTAACCTGGTTCATGCAGTGACACCGTGTTGGAAGTTGGAAGCCTCAAGCTGAGATGACAGTGCAGAACAAAAACGAGTTAGGGTCATGACAATTAAAGTGTTCTTCTTAGAGCGGAGTGTGGACTCGGAGTGTCTCAGATGACTGTGCTGTGAGAAACTTCCAAAGAGCACCATTCACGATTTGGCTTTTTCCAAGAATGTTCCAGCCCTCAAGGGGGCAGTTCTGTAAAGTCCTTGTTGGCTTTTATTAAAACCTTGTGTAAACTGGGAAAGCAGAGAGAGGTAAGGAAAAGCAGTGAGAAAGACAAGAAAGCAAAACACCAGCCAAACAAGCCAAGGGAAAAAGATTTTTCTTTACCCGTATAGACTTCAAAATGACATTAGACACCTTTGAAAGTTTAGCCTCTGAACTCTTAACGCCTATGTTCCCATCCGTCTCTACCTGGTGTCTTTATGAATACCCTCTCTGGGCTCTGAAATTTCAGGAGTGCTTTCTATCCACACCAAGTTCTAAGTATTTATAGGCATTTCTACAAGAAAAAAAATCCAGTGAAAAGGAAATTGCTCCACACAAGTTGTGGTCAGCTGCTTGGATTCAGCCCCTCCCCCTCCGTGCACTTTACCACAACTTGGAAGAAATGCATCCAATACGTGTTTCCGCTGCCCCTTTCAGCTGTTGCTGGGCTCGGTTTGGCAAGTTTCCTTTCAGAAACGCGTTGCTTAGACTGTTAAGAATGAAGGTTTTGTGTTTAAAATTTATTGCATCGCAAAGGATGGTTTCACTGAAGTCATGCACCATTCAGTAAGATGAAATATTTGTATTTATTGTTCTGCTTCTTACGCCGTAACCTGTTTTATTCTCCGAATTTGCATGTGGTCAGTCACATGCCATGCCACATTTTCATGTTTGGGACAGCACTGATGTTCCCCACTCGCCCATCTGTCAAAGGGGTCAGATTCCAGCAGATTCCACCTGTCAGGGGGGCTCCTGTCTGGCTTCCATCATGAGATAAATTTCTCCTTCCCCCATTTCTTTAAAAGAAGCAGACAGAATCTAGGTGTAAATCGATTGGAAACCAGTCTAATTTTCTTTTATTTTTTTCGCATCAGTCATTTTCTCTGATTAGTTTCACTGTGTAAATTAGATATTAACTGCACTTCTTTAAAGAAAAATCTCCCTCTTACCTCCTTGATTCACTTCTGTAGGCCTTTTTTCAATAGGCTCATGACTGCAGATAAAGGAAAAAAAGTAAAAACAAAAACAGTATGTGCCTGAAAAACGACAAAAAAAAATTTTGTAACATTGAAAAAAACCTGAATAGCCTTTAATTCTTTAATATGCTTAAATGTTCTGTACATCGGTTTCTGCCACGTGTGTTTGTTGCCATTCTGAATGACTTCATGGGATTCTCACAGTCTGCGTCTTCATGTCCCTTGTATAAAATGGGCTTGTGATGTACGCGTTTCATCTGCTTGGTGGTTCCTTTGATATTGTACTGCTGCTGGGAGTGGGCTGTGCAACCCACCCTCGGTCACGAGGTTCCGGGTGGGTAGACTGGAGAGTTTGGGGGGCGGGGGGATAAATTCTCACACACGTTTTCTTAACCTATTTGCAGAAATTCAAGGCATTTGGTTAACCCTCTTGGCAGTACAGTATTCTCGTATTTGTTAATGTCTGTGTTTAGGTACTGGTACCTTTTTTGTTTAAAAATGTTCTAAGTGTTGGCTTTAAAGTGAATTTATCTTTAGTATGATAGTTATATGAAAATTATAGGGTTTGTGTGCAGAGAATTTTTTTATAAAGTGCTTTGTAAAAAAAATGTATTCTAGCTTTTGCGGTACATATGTGTGATAACTTTAATATCCATGACAGTTAAGTGCAATTATTTCATCACTCTAAAAATGCTATTTTTGTGTCAGTTCCTGCAGGTGTTTTCATGTCTTTGCAAAGTGACACATTTTGATGCCTTCTTGATAAAGTGGTAGACATTTTGTAGCTTTCTAGAAACTTTGTATTCATACGGTATCAATGAAAAATAAAGAAAATGAAAGTGTGGGTCACCTTTTTTATCTCGCAAAAGTGTGTGCTGTCGAAAGTGGAACACGCTGCCTGCACTGTGGGGGGCGTACGTGAAGGACAGTGAAGGAGGCCAAAGCCACGATTCTTTCCACAGTGCCCTCCAGGCTCAGTAATTGGAGCGTTAGGTGTTACTCCAGCCGGGTTTCTCAAGAGCATCCGCAAGTCAGTCTGTCTGTCTGCCTGTTACTCTCTCCCCTGCTTCAGTGCTTTGTTAAAATTGACAGGTTTTGCAGAACAGCTAGTCTGTGGACCCCGGGCCACCCTGAGAAGCCACGCCCCGTGTTCATGTACCACAGTAGGGCCCTGGAGAACCTAAAGGCACACCAGCTCGGCCACTGAGCATTTAGGACTGTTAGCCCAACTTGCTGGGCGTGCGCCAGGAACCGGGGGTAGAGCAGACAGCGGGGGACCGAGGTAAATACGCCATGGTTCTGGCCTGCACAGCGCCTACCTTCTCAGTAGCGGGGTTGCGTGTTGTGCTGTGACCCCTTGCCCCGTCCTCAGCATCGCCGCGGGGTTTGTGATTCAGGTGTGCAGCACGCGTGTATAACAAAACCCTGGATTCACTCGGTTTTCACTGTATGCTGTTCACGGGGCCAAGTGTATTGGTGTGGAGTGCATACGGTGTCCCCTTTGATTCTCAGAATAGTCCCAGTGGCAGTGACATTATTGCCCCCACACTGAGCTCCGAAAGGATAGGTCATCCAGAGTCCTGACTGGTGAGCGGGGGGAGCCTTAAATAGTCAGCCTGACTGTTCGGCCTGGACTCCTGGCCCCTGCGCTTTGGCTCATGTCAATCTGTGGATGCAGCTTATGGCTAGGGAGAAATTTGGATTGGAAAAGGGGACAACTTTCTTAAACAGCGATGACCATGGGCTTTTGACAACAGGACCAAATGCTCCCTGGGATTCTTTGGTTTGCACTAGACCTTGGGTCTTGCTTCTCCCCATTTCTTTGAAATTTTGAGGGAAAGATTGCCTCAAATCCCAAGAGGCACTGGTGGGAGTGGGAACAGAGAAGAAGTAACATCCCAGCTCCTTCGAAGAGTTGCATTTCCAGCGAGCCACTGTCTGAGAGGTGTGCCTTCACCAGCGAGCTGCTCGGGGCAGAGGGGAGAGGGCTGTGGAGCGCTTTGCTGAGTCCTTGTTCCGTGGAAGGCACCTTCATACTCAGGAGTCACTGTGTCCCTTAACCCACACCTGCTGAGTAATGAAATCATTTCCAAAGCACCCTGCTTTCTCGTGACAAGCCAGGTAGAGGACAGTACCCTCCACCCTGAAAAAAAAAATCCTCACAGCCAATAAACGTGAAAAGATACTCAGCTCCATTACTAATCAGGAAGTGTAAGTTCAAAATCACAGTGACATTTGCCCAGCAGATTTAAAGCTTTTAAATCTCATAATATCAAGTGTGGGTAAAGGTGTGGGGCCGTGGAGCTTTTGTGCTGTAAACCAGTTCAACCGCTTGTATAAGAACATTATAGCCCCATTCATCCAGTCCAGCAACAGAAGAGTTAAAAAATAAGTGGGCTCATTTACATAATTGACCATAATATGAGTACAAAGAACACTTGAAATATGTACCAATATCTCACAGCCTTGAGAAAGAGCCTGCGATATTTTCATTCACTTTTTCTCCAACTTTGTTGAAGTATAATGTATATAAAGTAAAGTTCATTTTAATGCATCATTTGTTAGGATTGAGTGCTGTGTATATTGATGGTTGTCTGCCACCACAATCGCAACACAGAACGTACTCACCGCCCCCAAAGTGGCCCTTCACAGTTCATCCCTGCCTCTCTCACCCGCATGCAAGCTCGGGTCTGCTTTCCTTGCCTGTGATATTTTGCCTCTTCTAGGATCTTAAACAGAATCACACCGCATTTAGTTCTTTGTGTTTGATTCTTAACTTAGCATAACTTTTCACATGAGGATAGGTCCCATTCTTCTGACTCTCCGCCGTTAGGGAATTTTAGGTTGTATAATTATTAATGTTCATTGTGGAGGTTCTCCATTTTGATATTTTTCTCAAACAGGTCATTTCATTTCATTTTTAGCGGGCATTTTCCTCGATTGAACTACACAGTCTGTGTCTGGTGGGGACTCCAATCTCAGGTCCTCTGCTCTTCCGCTGAGGCGTGGGGGCGTGTGGCGTGGTGCAGCAGTCGGCCTGAGGGATGCGCAGACAGAATGTGGGGGTCCCTTCTCTGGCTCTCTCCCTTCCAGGACTCCCTCTCCTCCCTTTGCAGCTATCGTTGCCCTGGACACAGTGTTCCATTTTCATGGACCAAAACTATGGCTTTGCCCACAGCACAAGCACTGGCTGGAACAGCATGGCCCCGCACCTGGCCCCTGGCTGAAAACAGCAGAAATGGGGGCTCACTTTCTATAACTTTGCTCTCCGTGTCGGAGAGCGACTTTCCACCAAAATCTACGTGTTTCTGTTCACCCCCCCCAGTGCTTCTACTTTTGTTATTTCTACCCAGTAAAATCCCATTCAATCATTACTGTAAATAGAAGTCTGATTGTTTCAGGTGCAAATATTAAGATGTTCGTTCGTTTGTTTTTTGCAGGTTTTGAATTCTTGTATGGGCTTCCCAATTCTGCTGTGAAATCAGTATGACATCTAGTGGCTTGATAAGGTTAGGACGGGTTTTAATGAGTTACGTCTGGAGTCCCGGCTTCCTACCTGTGGAGGTGGGGCAGAGGCTAGTGGTTTAATATTTAGTAGTTTCCACTTATTGGAAAACAGTAACAACTGGTACACATTAATAGGCAACAAAGAAAGAGGGAGGGGAAGGGAAGAAAAAAGGGGAGAAGCATGGAGTGAAGAGAAGGAGGCAGGATGGAGGGAAGTGAGGGGAAAAGGGAAGGCAGGAGAGGATGATGTGGGCAAAGGACATTCCAGGAGTAGGGAGCAAGACAAAGGGCTTAGAGTTGGGAAGTGACCTGACGGAACAAGAAAAAGGGAACAGCAGGAAATATGGTTCACAAAGTGGTCTGGCCCGTGAAAGACCTTTCACGTCACGGGGCAGAATTTAGCTTGTAGCCACCAGGCAGTTGGCCATCGGAGTTTTTGCCCGTCGAGGGCACACTCTGGTTCTGAGCCGGTCCTTGCCCCACCCACTGCTTGCCTTCCCCTTTCTCCGAAATGCAGGGGACTGGACCCCTGTTGTCTCTCTTCTCCAGATGCCTGTGTCAGCTGCTTAAATCAGCTGAGTGTGGCCAGTGGAGGGGACTGGGAGGGGACTGCGGGTGGGACGTGGGAGGAGCCAGAGCACAGCTCTCCACCTGTTTCCATTTCAGGAAGAGCAGCGGCTCTGTCTCCTCCCGGGCTCCAGCTCTTCTGGGAGGGGCCACCAGGGTTCCAGCTCCTACGAGTGATCTGGACACCCCCTCATCCATCCGCTCCTGAAAGTGGGGGCGACTTCCTCTTCCTGTTCACCTTGGGCTTTGGCATCTCAGCACCTTCGCCACCTGTGAAACCAATTCTTTGCATCCAATGCCCTGGGTTGTAAAGACTTGAGTGGTTTCTATCTTCCCAGTTAGTGCCTGACTAATACCAGTTCTCTTTACTGCTCTGGGTTCCACAGACGGGGATTTCCCCTAAATACTCTTCGCACCCTGCTCTACCCTTCCTTCTCCCCGCAGAAGTGCACTGAGTTCCCGGAGAGCTGGTGACAGCAGTCCATCCACATTGTCATCGGGGCTGATCTCTCCTTGTGGACTTCGAGAGTGGATTTTAGCACACTCTTCAGGTATACGTAGGCTCTGTGTTTGAGTACAGCCTGTTCTGCAATAAAATTGATATTTGAATCCCTAACTCCTAAGTCTGAATTGGTTCCCAAGGTTAGGACAAGGTATGCTTTTTTAAAAAATTTTTAAAATATTTTTGCTCCCACTTCCCCTCTTGGAACATGTTCTACTTTCAGTTCCTTGGGGAATTATTGAGACATCATAGGTCCAGAAGTCTAATGTCAGGAGCAGATAGCGATGAGAAAAGGCCCGCTTCCCGGGCACGCCAACCACACCTGCAGCTGCACAGAATCCTGCCCTAAATAGTGCCCATCACTTGGTCTTAAAGTTTCTGTTCTCACTGTCTCGAAACTCGCAGTAAATTTTCTAGCAAGGTACTCTGCATTTTTCACTGGACCCTTCGGATTAAGTAGCCGGTCCTGGTATTAACGCCCCTCTCGGGGCGCACCTTTAGAAATGGTCGGTCTGTCCTGAGCCGCCAAGCTCCTTGGTATTTTAAGGCCTGCAGCGAGGCCAAACGCGCCCAGGGAGTTCTCCAGGTGGACGGCAGAGGGCAGCAAACCGCCACTCAAGGGCTTCTCGGGAGGACTGGGGGTTTGCAGACTTCTCCAAAGGTTTGTGTTAGAGGAAGGCGGGCAACAGAGGCAGCGGTGCTGTTGGTTGTCTGCTTCTTTTAATCTTTGAAAACCAGAAACTCTGCACTCCTGAGCCCCGTCTTAGGTGTGGCGGCGCGCAGCACTTGCGGCTCCTGTGTAGCCTGTCTGTCCGTGTTGAAAGAGAGCGGTGCCTTTCAACTAGACAGCCGCAGGGACCCGAGGGGCCGCGTGCCATTCTGCTCCTGTTCAAAGGGCCTTCCGAGGGATCCGGCAAGCCGTCTTCTGAGGGCTGCCTCTCATCCTCAGAGCGCCCAGCAAGGTCTGCAGTACCATCCGGTGGGGACTGGGCTCAAAAATGTACTTGGCTGTGACTGGTCACCAGCTGTGAAGTTAGCAAATGTCACTTTGAACCCTGATCTACGTAGGTCAGCTGCTTAAAGAGCAGAAAAGAACACAACAAAGAGTGTTCTTTTCATAAGTTCATTCCACCTTTACAAAAGAAAAAGGGGAAATACCATTTTTTTCCTTCCTTTGTCAGGGGAAACAAATCCCCTGTGACTACCTTGCCCCCTCCCAGGCCAATGAGAAAACTGACAGGTACCCGAGGGCTCTGACCTGGGTCACACCTCA